GGACTGCTGATCTAGATGACACTTGCTGAATATGTGAGTCTCTGTACTGCTGCCGTTCTTCCAAATGTCTGGAGGTCTCCAGTGACCTGCCCTGCTCGAGGTTTGATCATTAGATTGGAAACTCTCCGAGGGCAGGGACCAAAGAGAAGCCCGCTTGACATCCAGTATCAGTCTATTCCTGACCCACAGTAGCTACCCACAAATGTTCATTGAACTAACTAACTCATTGCATACTGTTCCTTTTTATTATTATTATTAAATATATGGCTACTGCATGTTCTTTTTCTTACTATTCATGGGGTTCTTAAGGCAAGAATACTGAAGTGGTTTGCCATTCCCTTCTCCAGTCCTGAATGTCCATTGGAAGGACTGATGCTGAATCTGAAACTCCAAAACTTGGCCACCTGATTCGAAGAACTGATTCACTGGAAAAGACCCTGATGCTGGAAAAGATTGAAGGCAAGAGAAGGGGACGACAGAGGTTGAAATGGTTGGATGGCATCACCGACTCAATGGACATGAGTTTGAGCAAGTTCTGGGAACTGGTGATGGACAGGGAAGTCTGGCATGCTGCAGTCCATGGGGTTGCAGAGTCGGACCTGACTGAGTGACTGAACTGCATGTTCCAGGCTTCCCAGGTGGCACTAATAGTAAATAACCCACCTGCCAATGCAGGAGATGAAAGAGACACAGGTTTGATCCCTGGGTTGGGAAGATCTCCTGGAATAGGAAATGGCAAGCCACTCCAGTATTCTTGTTTGGAGAATCCCATGGACAGAGGAGGTTGGCGGGCTGCAGTCCACGGGGTCACAAAGAGATGGACACGCTGAGTGACTGAGCTTACGTGCACTGCATGTCCTGCCCTGGTGAGCAGATTTCGATATTTTCTAAGCAGGAAAGCTTTTTTCCAGACGCCTTTCTCTAATCTCCTTCCACTTCAAGAGAAAGCCTTCTCTCCTCCATTCCCACAAAACCCACTTCACTCTCATCCCTTCAAAGAAGGCCATTGTCAATAATATGCAGATCTGTCCATGGTTTCAGAACTTGCACTTAACCATATGCCCCTGCTTAAAGGGAAAAGTCTGCTGTCCTTTTGTCTCCAGGGGCTTTGTTAGCTCAGACTCTTGAAATTTTATAGCTGGAAGCAACCGGACAGAGCCAACCTCGTCGTGTTACAGTGAGCAGCCGAAGTCCTCTTTCACACAGCTTCTGAGAGGCAGAGTCAGGATTAACTTGGTCTCCTGACCTTTCCATCTTCCATAAAATGTCACAGCTGCCTCTCCTATTCACTGGGTGCATGATCCATGAACTCGCTGCAAAGAGTTGTTAATGGAGATGACAGCCATATATAGATTACTGACTTTGAAAGGAAAACTTTTTTTTTTTTCCAAACAAAATCCATTTTACACTACAGTGGCATGGAACATGATTTTTAGGGGATGATGTCAAGAGCTCCAGAAGACTGGACAGTCTTGTCTCGTGTTGTTTGCATAAATCCAGTTGATGTCCTGTACTGGCAGATGGAGTCCATATAGGCTACAACTAGGGGACAGAGTTAATAGTCAGACTGACAGAAGGAGGGAAGAGTTACAAAACATCCATCACAGGGCAAGTCCTTACTCCCTCTCAAATTGGTTATTTTGTTGTTGATGATGATGACGTTTCTGGATGCTACAGCTCAAGCCTGGATGTTACCATTCACCCATAAAGGATCCAGGAGAAAGCTGGGGGCAGGGGTGGGGCTGTAGTGAAGGCTGAAGGAGAGAACTAGCATTTATTAAATCCAGCCCAAGGCCAGGACCAGAGCCAGAAACTCCCGTATCTGCTTGATTCCTCTCACACCCAGCAGAGCAGACATCGCCGTTTACATAGACCGCATTACTTCGCATACAGCGTCTCAGAGCCTAGCTGTCAGTTACACACTGCTGCCAGGAAATTGCTATAAAATGGATGTTGTGTTCATTTATCTTTGCATTATGCACACTCTTTAGGAACACAGATCATTTGCATTCATAGGTTTCCTTTCGGTAAAAAGGGTTAATAATAATTCCTACTTAATAGCATGGTCATGCATGGAAGATGCTCAGAACAGTGTCTGACACGCAAAGTTTCTTGGTAAATTGTAATTACTATAATGATGATGATTGATATTATTTTTGTTTATTTAGTGATGCATGTTTCCTTTTCAAAATGAAGCTAATCTTTTTCTAATAACCAAAGTAATATATAAAAAGCAGAAAATAGAGACTAGCAATAAATATTAAGCACTTTTAATACCCTGGCTAGATTATCTTAGATTCTTTTTGGATACATATGCACATAATACAAGCTTGCTCTCTCTCTCACACACACACACACACACACATAAATCTATTTCCAAAACACATTGTAAGCTATCAAAATTTAACCCAAATAGCAGTCATTCATCTACTCACTCACTCACTCACTCATCCAACAGAAATTGTTGAGAATTGACAATGTGCTGGCATTACTAAGGCTGGATGAGGTATTGAGCAAGGCCGGGCTGCTTTTCCAAGCTTTCAGATGCTTTTCACACTTGAAATGAGTGACTTTGAGAAGCATGCAGAATTTCTGTAGGAGAAACAAACCTGGCTGGCTGAGGCAGAACAGACCCCTGGGACCCCTCATTTGACACTATTTCCAGAAGCACCCTGAGTACATTCAGACCGTGGCCCATGGACTCCCCCCTCCTTCTCCCGTCCCCAACACACACAGTTGGCCCGGAAGGTAGGAACACCCATTGCTCCTGTCGACTGTGTGAGAAGCTTTCTGGGCTGTGTGAAAACAAAGATCCTGAATTTTTGCAGGGAAACAGGATTGTTTCTGAAACAAACAAACCTCATTGGGTGATTAAATATGAGAAAAGCAAGAGGAGAGCTATTTACTGTTAGCAGTTCATCAGACCTCACCCATCTGGAGGCCAAGGCCGGCTCTCGTCCCTGGCCGTGTTGGGGGAACAATTCAGGCCACTCAGAGCCACCACAAGGCCTGCCAGTGAGCTCTGCCCAGACTGCTGGGGAAGGAGTAGTGGGCGTGGATTATTTATGTTTCCTTTCAGAACAAACCCAACAAAAGAACAAAGCTGCTCTTCTGCTGGCAATGCTAGCAGCCCCGACATACGGCACTGCTGGGTTCCTTCTGCTGAGGAGTGGGCGTCCAGGCTGTGCGAAGGTGCTGCCATCTCCTGGGTGCCAGCTCGGTTCACTCTGAGCTGAATGCTGACTGTGAAACAGGGCAGTAAGGGCGGGGGAGGACAGAGGCTGGGGGAGAAGATGCGATTTTGTGACTGAGGAGACATGCCCATCCAGATCATCGTACACGTGGTCCAAACCCATTCTCTGGAAGAAGCATGAGATCCTTTGTGTGCGTGGGGTGGTGGATGGGGGCAGGAAGGTGAAGGACAAGGGTCTAAAGAGAAGTGGAGGGGGGAACAGGGCACCTGGAGAGCCAGACTCGCACCTGGAGCTGTTTGTAGACTTCTGATCACAGTTACTGGTGCACTGGTGCTCCCCAAGTGGTGCAGTGCTAAGGAGTCTCTGCCTGCCAATGCTGTAGCCACACATTCCGGGAGACACACTCACTCAGAAGGACAATGCAGGTAGTGCAGTTTATTACACCGGCAGGCCCAAGGCAGAGTCTCCTCTTAGCCAAGGACCCCGACCAGTTTTTGTGAATACCTTATATACCCTAAGTGTACGTGCTCAAACCCACCCCCCCAAATTCTCTGAAACTAGTCTGAACAAAGGAAAAGAAAGGTACAATCAAAGTTAACCCGTGATTCATAAACCTTAAACCTAGGCAGTTAACACTGGACAATTATCAATAGACCTGTGGTCATACCCCAATAAGCATAATAGAACTTATGATTCTATTCAGTTACACAGATAATTAGGGTATACTTTTAGGCGATGGAGAGTCTAAGTGTGAGCCCTGGGGCTCTTCCATCCAGGGGGGGTCTGGTTTTCCAGTTGGTTTGTCGTTTCCACAGATACTGGGCATATAGCTCAAAGTCCACTGTCCGGAACAAGGTGGAGTCCTGCCTTCAAGATGGAACCTGTTTTCCTCCCTCATTCCCCACTCTTGATGCTCTTAACTCATAGTATGAGCATCACTCATAGGGATATATTGTACCCTGGCTCTCCGACCACCAATTTGGGAGAACGACACCAAACTTTGGGTTAAAAAGCTCATAATATATTGTAAAATGCAGGGTCCACAAAGCAGAACTATCAAGGCAACTGTAACAATGGTAAATACAGTTTTCTGCCAATCACCCTTCACCCAAGATAGGACCAAAGTCCAGAAAGGAATGTTTTCATTTGACATTGCTTTTACCTGGCTTTTCATGTCATCTAAAGCATCTGATGCATTGCCAGGTAAATCAGGAATATATACACAATATTTAACCTTAATTATAGCACAGGTCCCTCCTTGAGCAGCTTTGAGCATGTCCAAAGCCATTCTGTTTTGAATTACCGCTTTTCTCATTTGGATTTGTTCCTATTTAAGGCTTAGATGGCTTTATCACCATCTAGGAGGGCCTGTTATAGGAAATTACTCAAGGCCTCTACTTTAATCATAATATCTGTTGTCCCTATAGAAGGTACGAATAAGGCAGCAATATATTCATACAATTGAAACACAGACCTTGTCCACCTAGCTTGTAAATAAGGTAGATTTACCAGGGCTTGTTATAGGTTAGGCTTTATGCTGCCATGGGCAAAAGTAAATCCCAGTGTGCAGCGGCCTACCCAGCTGATTGGTAACCAAGGCCAAAGGTTAGGCCCACAAAATTTGGGTCCCATTGGGCACCATCCAATGGATTCCAGGGTTATATTTCCAATCAGAGCCTGGCCAACGGATGGACTGGTTGTGGTGGTATGTGACCTCGAATGTTCATTTACATTGTTTAGGGGATAGGTACCCCATATATTTTAGTTCTTTTGGGTCTAATGGAGGTCACTGAACCCTATCCTTTGTTCTTTTTGTTCCAGCATATAGCAGTAGGAGTAATTAATTGACCTCTTTCTGGGGTCATCCAGAAATATTCATCCCAGACTTGGTAGAATTCTTCAACATACCTAGAGGCCTGTCCTCCCTTGCCGGTCAGGGAGCTTTTTTCCTTTGTCCTTTAAATATGCGGTATAGGCTTTTATTACTCCTATGAAACTGGTGTTTACATCAAATGTAACCCCATGACCTGAGTCTATTGACTGTAGGTCGGGCTTATACCAAGAGAGCAGGGAGAGATTATGATTGACAAGAGAAAGGAAAGTCTCTTTTTGTCGTTCCAGAAAAGAACACCAAGGAGGTCCATCCATCACAGACAGAGGCATAGCCCCAGATACCCAGCAGCTGGAGGTGTTGTGGAAGTCCATGTAGGAATGTGCCCGTGAGATGAAAACATTGTCCTGAGTTGAAACAGAAGTTAAAGTCAAAATCACATTGATGAAGCCATGCAGCAGGAGTTGATTATGTGGCTTCATCCTGAATGGGCTCGTCCAGGATCTTAATTTCCTTCTTCTAAGGATGATCTTAGTCTCTTGAGGGTCAGTGGGGCCCCTCTGCGCAGTCCACTCAGTGTTTTCTGGGTCTGCGTGGTATGTTCTCATGTGGCGGATCCAGGGAGTGACACCTGCAACTTTAATTGCTGTGAGTGAAGTGACAGAAGTGGCTCAGATGTCTCCGACTCTTTGTGACCCCATGGACTGTAGCCTACCAGGCTCCTCCATCCATGGGATTTTCCAGGCAAGAATACTGGAGTGGGTTGCCATTTCCTTCTCCAGGGGATCTTCCCAACCCAGGGATTGAACCCAGGTCTCCCACATTGTAGGTGGACGCTTTACCCTCTGAGCCACCAGGGAAGTCCCAACTGCTGTCGGGATGGTTAGAACAACAGTATATGGACCCTTCCAATGTGGGGCCAAGGAGTTGTGTTTCCAGTCCTTGACCCACACCTGATCCCCAGGCACAAATTCATGAATCTGTTCCCCAAGGGGGAATGGCACCCTTTCTTGTACAAACTTAAGTTACCTGATTTATTACCTTACCCAGTTGTTACATCTGCTGTGAAATATTATCTCCTCTTAGCTGGGGCAAATTTGTTGACACCTGTTTTATTACAGGAGGGAGCCTCCCATACACAATTTTGTATGGAGAATAGCCATGGCACCGTAGGGTCATCCTGAGTCTAGGCAGAGCATCAGAGGCACGTCCACTCAGGAGCAGTCAGTCTCTAGGGTCCACTTGGAGAGTGGAAGGTTGGTTCCTTCCACCATCCCAGAACTCTGGGGCCTATATGCTCTATGTAATTTCCACTCGATGTTTAAAGTTTTGCTTACTTGTTGTACTAAATCAGTTACGAAAGCTGGGCCATTGTCTGATCCAATGCTGGTAGGAAATCCAAATCTGGAAACTATCTCCCTAAGCAGGCACCGGGGTACTTTTGATGCTCTTTCAGTCCAGGTAGGAAAAGCTCCTACCCATCCTGAAAACATACATACCATGAGCAGCAGGTAACGGTAGTGTCAGTGAGGTTTCATTTCAGTGAAGTCCACTTCCAGGTGTTCAAAAGGCAGCGTGCCTTTTAGCTTAATCCCTGGAGGTTTCTGTCTGTGCCAAGAGGCAGCGCTGACCTGTGAGCAGGCAGTGCAGTTCTGAGATTTTGTCCTGCATAGGGAAGAGAGGCAGGGAACTAAGAAATATTTACGAATTAACTCTTCCAGTTTATCATGGCCTAGGTGGGTCGCTTGGTGTGTTTGGCTTACCAGAGTGGGTGCCAGCTCCTCTGGTACCAATAATTTGCCACTTGGCAATCCCCACCATCCCTTTTCAGTCTTGATGGCCCCTTCCACTTTGGCTAGTTGGTTTTGGGCTTCAGTGTAATTTGGAGAGTCCAGAGTTAGCTCAGGCAGCTCTGCCAATATGAGAGCTTTAATAAGGGCCTCACTTGTCACCCCCAAGTCCTCAGCTGCTTGTTTAGTGATCTTATCTGCCAGTCTGTTCCCTGAGCCTGGGGGGTGGGGAGGGTATCCTCTTTTTGATGACCTCAGCAGTGTATGACTGCAACCCTTTCTGGTTCCCAGGCAGCATCTAATAGGGTCTTAATTTCTTCCTTATTTTTAATATCTTTTCCACTAGCTGTCAAAGGCCTCTCTCTTATACAGAGCCCAGTAGTGTGGCAAAAGCATGCCTGGAGTCTGTGTAAATGTGTGTCTTCTTACCTTTTGACAGCTGGAGGTCCTGGATTAGAGCATATAGTTCGGCCTGTTGAGCGGACCAGTGTGATGGCAGACAGCTAGCTTCAGCGATGGTTTCTTCCATGACTACTGCATGTCCCGACAGTCGGAGCCACTGGCGTATAGGACCAAATCTGAGTCCGGGATTGGCTGGTCCCTCAAGTCAGGTCTGCTGGCATATTTCCTTGCAATCATGTGAGGACCCACCTTCTCCCACAGGAAGGAGAGTGGCCGGATTCAGGGCTTGACAAGGCTCAACAGTAACATGGGGGTTCTCACATAACAGTCCCTGATATTGAGTAATCCGGGATGTCAACAGCCATTTATGAAGGTTCCCTTGCAGGAGAGTGTTGACCTCATGCGGGACTTTTACGATCAAATCTTGGCCCAAAGTCAGCCTCCCGGACCAGTAAGGCAAACTGCAGCAACTGCCCATAAGCAGCCCAGCCACCCAGTGGCAACATTGTCCAGCGGTTTCGGGAGATAAGCCACGGGTCTGTCCCATGTCCCCAGAGTCTGGGACAACACTCCCATAGCCACCTTGTCCTTTCCAGTCACGTAAAGAGTAAGTGGCTTAGCAAGGTCTGGCAGGCCCAAGGCAGGTGCTGACGTAATTGTACTGGGTTTGACTGCGATTACCAGTGGGACTTGCTTTGCAAGCCTGCGGGGTCGGGGGGTGGGGGGTGAGGGGAGAGGGGTTGTCTTCCGCCCAGACTTCAGGGAATTGTTGAGTTAACGATTCTCTCGACTGTTTAGCCCATCCGATTTCCCTTCCGGGAGATTGTGCAACCTCCGTTCATCTTGAAGGGTTACTGAGAGGAAGAGTAAATAGGTGGTTGAGCCCACTCGAAGAGTGGGTCTTTCGTGGTGAGTGAAAGGTCACTTGTGCCCCCAATTTAGACAGCAAGTCTCTTCCCAACAAAGATACTGGGCATTCAGGGATGTATAAAAATTCATGAGTCACGTTGTGTCCCCCCATCTGACATTTTTAGGGTAGGCTTGAGACACAAAGGCTGCATTTATCACCATCTGAGACCCAGCAGCCTCTGGATCTATTGGTGTATAAAGTCTACAGGCCTCGCACAGTTTTTCATAGAATTCAGAGGGTGATTTGCTTTCCATCTGAATCACTTCGGAGGGTTTTGCCATACTCATAGGTTTTAGGGCCTCCTCTTGAGGCCTTGTAAAATAGCTGCCAGATATCTCTCCAGATGGCCCACCTTCCTCTATGTTACAGTCCCAATCGGTGCTCTCATCGGGGGTGGCTCGTTCTGCCCACCGCTGCAGGTCTGCAGTGCCCTCCATTCCTCTGAACCATTTTCTGGCCTCAGTTAGGATCCTGGTCTTTCCTCAGTGCTGAAGAGAGAGACTAATAGTTGGATTATGTCACATGTAGGGTGGTGGGTTCGAAAAATAGTCTCCATTAGCCTAATCATGGCTTGTGGCTCCCCCGAGTACAGTGGAGTGTGTCTCTGCCAGCTTAATATGTCTGTAAAGGAAAATGGCAGGTAATAACAGGCTACAGGGGGCTGATGGCAGTGCCCACATGCGTCCTGAACCAGAGGCTGTTGTAGCTCTCTGGGGGGCATCTGTAGTGGGGTTCTTTCCCCCTGTTCCTTGGCAGAGCGCAGCCTCTGTCTAATTCCTGTGTTTTCTTCCCCCTTTCCATCAGTACTCACCTGGAGAGGTGGATACAATCTAGGAGATCCAGCTGAGGTGGAATTCTGGGGGCGTTGACCAGAGGTCTCCATCGCTGGGATTAGAGCCTGCCAAAACCGTGGCTCTACGATTTCCAGGAGAGCTGGCGGAAGAGCAGCTGCCGAACTTCACCCGGCCCTGGATCGGTCATTAAGGCGGCCTCCAGTCCTGGTGGAGCACAGGGAGGAAGGTGCGTCATTATCCAGTATGCGGGAGCGGTCATGACATCCCTGTCCAAATCCTGTAGAATTTCCCTTTTTATCATCAGTCAGTTTTTTGCGCTATTAATATTTTCCCCTTTCCCTTCTAGATACAGAATCTTGTACAAGTAGGAGGGTCTTAAGCTAACCCTAGCCATGAGTCAATATGTGGATATTGATCTGGGAGTCCTGGCTCTCCTGTGACTACTGTATAGACGCTTCCACTATTTTTAAGTTCATGGTGTTCTCTGGTGGCCATCCTACTCCCACAGGGAGCCTTTCGACCTCACAGAGTATGTGGAGTTGGTTAGGTGTCATCTTCACCCCATAGTCTCCTCTAAATCCCTTCTTTAAATTTTTAATCATGCACTCCAATACGGTTACCTTAGATTCACTTCCCTCCACCATCTTGCTTACCTTCCCAGACATTCTACTTTTTCTTTTCTTTCTGTCTATGAAGTTCTCAGTACCCTATGTACTTCTGATATTTCCACTCAATGAAACACTTAAATTGCCATTCAGCTTCCTTCCTAATTTGGGTGAGAAGAGCCTTCCTTACCTGCCAGAACCCAGAGGGAGAAGGGGGATAGGTGTGTCTTTACCTGCTGGTCAGCATGGCTGAACCAGAACACCACGTGGTCCAAGACTGTTTTTCCCTTAACTTTTAGTCCATTCTGCCTTGGTGGGCTTGATCAGGTGTGGATGAAAACACAGATGGGTTAAATATTCCACGTCCCAGACCATCTCTGGAAAAGACAATTCATATTCACTTACGTACCCCGCCCCTCCTTCTAGCCTGACAATTCCAAGGGGGTCAAGAATTTCACAGCAGATGGGACATCTCCTTGGGGAGGGCAGAATATGAGCTCACAAAGACCAAGTTTCTCCTCCTAAAAATCCCCTGTGGACTGCTTGGTAGTAATTTTCTCCAAGACGGCATGGACACCACCTCCTAAATGACCTTCACAAATTTCCTTCCTAAGCCCTAACATGCTCCTCAACCTATGTACCAATTAATCGCTGCCACCTGCCTATTTCAGGCTCCTGTGGTTCTGTGCCCCTTCTAGTCCCTCCCAGGGGGGTAATTAAGCCCCTCTTCCACCCTACTGGGTGAGTTCCTCCTTACCTGAGCGCTCAGTTCCCCTGCTGCCGTCCACTACCTGCTAACGGGAAAGGTCCAGCACTGAGAAGCAAAATCCTTCCAGAAGGGTGAGGCGCCTTCCCCCACTAGAAGATTTAAGCCACAAGGCCTCAGAGTAGTCCCAAATGGGACTTGTCTCCTCAGAGTGAGGAGTTTCCCGGCCAATGCACTAAATGTTGTAGACACACATTCCGGGAAACAAACTCACTCAGAAGGACAATGCAGATAGTGGAGTGCAGTTTATTACATGGGTGGGCCCAAGGCAGAGTCTCCTTCTAGCCAAGGACCCTGACCAGTTTTTGTGTATACCTTATATACCCTAAGTGTACGTGCTCAAGCCCACTGCACCCCCCCCCCCAAATTCTCTGAAACTAGCCTGAACAAAGGAAAAGAAAGATATAATCAAAGTCAACCCATGATTCCTATGCCTTAAGCCTAGGTAGTTAACAGTGGACAATTATCAATAGGCCTGTGGTCATACCCCAATAAGCATAATAGAATTTATGGTTCTATTTGGTTACACAGATAATTAGGGTTTTCTTTTAGGTGATGGAGAGTCTAGGTGCGAGCCCTGGTGCTCTTCCATTCAGGGGGGTCTGGTTTTCCAGTTGGTATGTCGTTTCCACAGATACTGGACATATAGCTCAAAGTCCACACTCTGGCCCCAGATGGAGTCCTGCTTTCAAGATAGAGCCTGTTCTGTCTGTTTCCTCCTTCACCAATGCAGGAGACACAAGAGACTCAGGTTTGATCCCTGGGTTGGGAAGAGCCCCTGTAGAAGGAAATGGCAACCCACTCCAATATTCTTGTCTCGAGAAGAGCAAATATTCTTGCCTTGACAGAGGAGCCTGGCAGGCTACAGTCTATGTGATGGCAAAGAATTGGACATGACTGATCAACTAAGCACACTCACACAACCACAGTTAACTCTAAAAGGTATCGTGAAATTTCTGGCCTCTAGCACAAGTGCTTATGAAAACCGTTACAGTGAAAATACCCACAGTGGGTGAAAACTGTGTTTTCAGGCATGATTTAGGTCTTGAAATGGATGTTTAGTAGAATGTGGCATAACTATAATTTTTGTGCTCAGGGTTGAGAAATGATAGATGTGGAGAACGCATGCAGGGCTGGTGGCATGAGTTGGGCCCTTTTGGGGGTAGTGAACTTTGCTTCGGACACACAGCAAGGCAGGAGGCCAAGGCAGAAGTCAGAGCACTGACCTGGGTTTTGTGTGTGTGTGTGTGTATGCACGCGTGCACACACACATACAAATGCACATAGGAGCAGGTCCTTGAAACAATTAAAACAATGTACAATGTGTATTTTTTTAATGTCAGGTACAGCATGCTGTTGTGCCGAGTGACTCACCCAGTCTGCGCACACTGGGACTGGGAAAGACACGAACATATATAGATGCACACTTTTTCTCTTGTTTTATCTTTATCTATCTATGTAGAAGCTCAAGGCAAGAATACTAAAGTGGTTTGCCATTCCCTTCTCCAGTGGACCATGTTCTGCAGACCTCTCCACCATGAGCCCTCTGTCTTGGGTGGCCCCACACTTCATGGCTTAGTTTCATTGAGTTAAACAAGCTGTGGTCCGTGTGATCAGATTGGCTAGTTGTCTATGATTGTGGTTTCAGTCTGTCTGCCCTCTGATGCCCTCTCTCAGCGCCTACCATCTTACTTGGGTTTCTCTTACCTTGGAAGTGGGGTAACTCTTCATGGCTCCTCCAGCAAAGCGCAGCTGTTGCTCCTTACCTTGGATGTGGGGTATGAAAAGGCAAAAAGATAGGACACTGAAAGATGAACTCCCCAGGTCGGTAGGTGCCAAATATGCTTCTGGAGATCAGTGGAGAAGTAACTCCAGAAAGAGTGAAGGGATGGAGCCAAAGCAAAAACAACACCCAGTTGTGGATGTGACTGGTGATAGAAGCAATGTCCGATGCTATAAAGAGCAATATTGTATAAGAACCTGGAATGTTCGGTCCATGAATCAAGGCAAATTGGAAGTGGTCAAACAGGAGATGGCAAGAGTGAACGTCAGCATTCTAGGGGTCAGAGATTTAAAATGGAATGGAATGGGTGGATTTAACTCAGATGACCATTATATCTATGACTGTGGCCAAGAATCCCTGAGAAGAAATGGAGTAGCCATCATAGTCAACAAAAGAGTCCAAAATGCAGTACTTGGATGCAATCTCAAAAACAACAGAATGATCTCTGTTCGTTTCCAAGGCAAACCATTCAATATCATGGTATTCCAAGCCCGTGCCCCAACCAGTAACACTGAAGAAGCTGATGTTGAACGGTTCTATGAAGACCTACAAGACCTTTTAGAACTAACACCCAAAAAAGATGTCCTTTTCATTACAGGGGGCTGAAATGCAAAAGTAGGAAGTCAAGAAACACCTGGAGTAACAGGCAAACTTGGCCTTGGAGTACAGAATGAAGCAGGGCAAAGGATAATACAGTTCTGCCAAGAGAACGCACTGGTCATAGCAAACACCCTCTTTTGGTAGTTGTGTTACTTAACATACCTGTCAAAGCTTTAATTGTTTTGATTTGATTACATAATATCACTCAAGATTAGTTCTTCTCATTGTGGAATTTTATGTATGCCAAGTTTAGCAATTTATTTTCTTATATATAGGTATTTGATGTCTATAGATTTGCTTGGATAAGTTAGAATTGTGTGATAAAGACAGGATTTTAAGTCTTCCACAGATTTTGTAGTCTCATTAGACTTGCCTTTTAAAAATAAAGAATGAAAATTGTAATGGCTGAGAGTTTAGATGGTACAGTTAGATTTGTCAATATTATTTTTACAATTTTAACAACATTTATGTTGAACAGTCTTATATCCTGTATGATACTAGATTTGTTGTTGGGTTGAATGGACTTAATGATTGAACAGGTGCTTTTTATTTCTACATGTATTTATATCAAATGATAAATTAATTTTAAATGACAATTATGATCAAAGATCTCATCCAAATTTTGGATGGATGCTCCTTATGATATATAATGACAACAATTTCAAAATAAAACTGATATGAATTGTGACATTTGGCATAATGTGACATTTTATTATATGAACAAATTAGATAGTCGTGAAAGTGCTGATAGCACTCTTTTGAAATATCATCAGCTATAAAGTCCTGCACCGCTGCTTTCTTTATAAGCAGAACTTAAATAAATCTATTTAATGATCCCATGTATTTTCTTCCCTCCAAGTAACACTATATTCCTGCCTGCTATAATCTGCAATTACTTCCTTTTCCCCAAGGAGAACATTTCACTGAAGCAGTAAAAGCTGTTTCAGTCACAATCAGCCTGTTTCCTAAGACATTTTTTAAATTGTAAGAATTGACGAAGACTCTTTGATGACTGTACTGTTGTTTAGTATTGAAGCATAATGATTGCTTCTTAAAAGTGTGTCCCGGAACCCATGCATTCAAGACACCACTGTCAAAATATATACATACATGATTGATTATCCAATTTATTGGTGATATTGTGTATGCTATCATAGTGCAGTTTAAATGATTTTGACAAGTACAGAAGAGTGTCATTGACAAGTGCAGAAATAAATGATGGGTTTAAGCGTTCAAATGTTTTTACAGCATTTTACTGAGTGGCAGGTTGATAAATTAAAATTACAGTTGTAGCATCAGGCCTGAAAGCATAACTGCTTTAGATTACAAAAATAGCACTGTGGAAACTTTGTGTACTCTCCGGAGAAGTAGCCTGGAGGACCTTGGAAAAAATGAAACAAGCGCAGTTGCTAAAAGAATCATTCATTTTGTGGTAGCACAGTGTCTAAAAAAATTAAAAAAAAAGATTTTTAGAAGAGGAAAATTGACTTTATCCCCTTATCCATTTTTCCCTGGAGACCTAGAGAAAATTGGATCCACACCATCAAAAGATGGGTTTTGAATTGGCCATTAGTGATCCCATGATGTCTGATGGGTGTATTTAAAGCTTAGAGGCAGTTTCTTGTTAACTCTTCCTTAGTTTCAGTGTTACACCTGGATTTTAACCTGTCATTCTGTCACCACGATCCCACCAAATTCAGTTGAACTTCCTTAAGACATCACTCAATCATTCACTGACTTTGATACTATTAAAGAAAACAATATTTCATCAGGCATTTCTTTTCCATTCTTTTTTTTCTTTGAGATTTGTTTTGAACAAATGAAAATTGCATACATTTAAGGTATACAACATGATGTTTTGAAATTATGTACACATTATGAAGGGGGCTTCCCATGTGGCCCTAGTGGTAAAGAACCCGCCTGTCAATGAGGAGACATTAGAGATGTGGGTTCGATCCCTGGGTTGGAAAGATCCCTTGGAGGAGGGAATGCAACCCACTCCAGTATTTTTGCCTGGAGAATCCCATGAACAGAGGAACTGTGGTGTTGGAGAAGACTCTTGAGAGTCCCTTGGACTGCAAGGAGATCCAACCAGTCCATCCTAAAGGAGATCAGTCCTGGGTGTTCATTGGAAGGACTGATGCTGAAGCTGAAACTCCAATATTTTGGCCACCTGATGCAAAGAGCTGACTCATTTGAAACGACCCTGATGTTGGGAAAGATTGAAGGCAGAAGGAGAAGAGGACGACAGAGAATGAGATGGTTAGATGGCATCACTGACTCAATGGACATGAGTCTGGGTGAACTCCAAGAGTTGGTGATGGACAGGGAGGCCTGGCGTGCTGCGGTTCATGGGGTCGCAAAGAGTTGGACATGACTGAGCGACTGAACTGAACTGATGTAGAAGCTAAAAATAATACAAATTAATCTATACACAAAAGAGAAACAGATTCACTGATGTAGATAACAAACATCGATGCACATTTTTCATGGTTGCATAAATGCATGTTTTAAAAACCAACATTCATCCTCAGAGATTGTGAAATCCCCCTGAAGACTTGTTCTCTTGGCTCAAATTCCAAGCAGTGGAATTTATTACCTTAAGCTAAGATTAACTGGAGTGCATAAGGTTTATTCCCCCTTTGTTTCTCCTCCTCCCAGAGACATAGGGATCATAATTCCATTCCTGAATCCACCACCTCACGCCTAGGGCTGTCACAAGATGAACTCTCTCCTTCTTGCCCCTAGCATGCCCCAGGGACCAGAGCCTTTCAAGGGTCCCCCCTTGAAAGGCTAATCCTTCAGCACAGGCATGACAGGTGTAGACAGCATTTCTCCAAGCTAAGATTCTCCCATCCTATA